TAATACCAGACAACAACATTAGATATATATACAGTATCTTTCAATTAGTTATAACTTAAGTTTTTGGATAACTTTTTTATTAATGGTATATAATATTTATTGTTTAAATATCCAAGAAATATATATATAAAATATTTTTATATTAAGTTTTATATTTATTATTAATATTTATTATTTTACTAAATAATATTTATATATCTATTTCATAATCAGTAAATTGATATTTTATTTGAAGGCAAATATTATTTTCTTAGAACATAAAAAACATGAGTTTTATAATAGATTTTTTTTTATAATATAAAATTGATAATATATTATATAATATTTTTGACAATCAGCTCTCGTTTATGGAGACTAAGCATATAATTTGTGTGAAACCCAATGTATTGATATTTTTCTCTATATTATTATTATTATTATTATATAAATATAATGCTATTCTTAATAACTTTAGTAGTTTTATCCATATCTATATGGATATAAGCTTAGTTATATATCGCATATACCCCCGTAATGGCTCTCCATATAAGCACATATATGGTTATCTGTATTCAAGAGCTTAAGTTGTTTTATATGTTTCGGGAAACTCAAGTCACAAACAAACACAAAAACAACAAAAAATTATATATTGTTTTTTTGTTTGTTTGTTTCGATTGCATAGAGTAAAGCCAAAGTCATAAAAATATCGGAACTATTTTTGTGTGTAAAAGTCTATAAATCTTTTGGAAGATTTTCGATACCAAACATAAAAGTGTAAGAAATATATAAATAAATAAATATATATATATATAATACAGAATATTCCATAAGAATAGTAATTTCCAAACGATTTATAAATAAATATCATAAAATAAATTCATATTTTTGTTGTTGGCTTTCTATGCTCTAAAACCCTTATTTTACCGTTTATTACTTTACCAATTTATATGCTGGTTATTATGAAAAGCCATAAGCAATAGAAAGAAAGAAAGAAAGAGAGAGAGAGAGAGAGAGAGAGAGAGACTCATAAAAATATTTGTGCAACAAAAATATTATATATATAAAACTTCTAGTAAAATGTACACATAATACAAATTATTATTATATATACTATACAAAAAAAAACTATTAGAAAAAAATAAAAAAAAATTCACTGAATCAAAATAATAATAGAAATTTTTTTTTATATATTATTATAGAATACACTATTAAATTATATAGTATTTTATATACTGTAGGATGTAATATAATTTTTATTTTTTATAGTAATAGATAAAAAAAGTAAAAATCAAATTTCATAACTAACCGAAACAAATGTCTTATATATATATATATATTGACTGTCCTCCAGGTATTTGACAAAAAGTAACTATACTTTTACGCCTATTCAACAAAACGTATTCCCATTTCCTACATATTTGGTTACGAAAGCCGTCGACAGCTATCGTATGGAAGAGACAGCCGTACTGTCGGTGGAGACCAATCTGAGTACTGCCGGCGGACACTTCATATCGCCGTCGTGTTCACCCGTCCACACCCAGCCTCATGTCAACAACAACACCAACACCCGTGACGAGCCACAGATCGGTGCCATACCAATGTCGGTACCGGTAAAAGTGCAATCAATAACTGTAGCCGACAACAAACTAATTAAGTTTAGACAGTATACCAACAATTATGTCATAAATACCTGTCCCTTTGGCAAGATTGTTGACGAACATCATCAAAGGGATACACCACCGGTTGTCAAAGTCAGTAGTCCGACACTAAAACATACCATTACTCTCGAGTCAGACAATGATAACGACACAAATCAAACAGTAGATGACAAAAGAAAAACAATAACAAACAAAACAACACCAAAAAATCGTCTGAAAAAGACAGCAAAAGTTTGTACTGAAAGTCCAGTTCTCGATAACAATGGACGAGACTATAGTTTGTCGAAAAGTGCAGACATTGACAGCAAAGAAAACAGAGTCCGGAAACGACGGTTCCGGTTATTGTGTTTTGGTTGCACTAATCGTAGACATAATAATAATAATAATAATAGTAGTATTGATGACAAATCGGAAATGTCGCCTAAAATCTATCCAAAAAATCATTGCCAGAAATTGCATAATCATGTAAACAGTTGTTGTGATGACCAACAGTTGACCACTAAGTATGTCAATGATAACCTGATGGCCACTACATCACAGACCAACCAACAACACCTCCCATCCCAACAGTCAATGGATAGACGGACAACAAAAAGGAGACAACGATTCCGATGCTTACCATTCATATGAAGAGAAAAATATTTATGTTATATGTTATTATATTTTATAATTTATTAAATAAATTATATTACTATAACTAATATTAAACTGACACAAAAATGTATCAATAAAATAGAGAGATAATACATTAATATTGATATATATTTGATATAATATATAAACGGTTAATGTTATAAGTTATCAAAAAAAATACCGGAGAAATAATTTTCAATTATTTCGTTATTGAATCAATAAATATTTTTAAAAATGTTATATTAATAATATAAGTAAACATAGTATAAATATCAATAAAAAAAAGTTGAAAATTGTTTAATGTAATGAAAAAGTTTAAGAAATTAATTTAAAAATTTTTAATTTTTTGTGTTTATAGCACATACACTACATACTAAATATTCAAAATAATTTTCTACTTAAAAATAAATATTTTGTTGTTCAACAAACACTATTAAATGTTGTTTTTATTTTATAAGTAAAAATTTTAAAAAGAGTAAGTCATTTGTAAAAAAATTTGTAAATTTAGTCAAAATAAAGCAAATAAAAAACTAACACCTTTTATTATGATTAAATATTTTTATACTCATAAATTATACAAAACATTTTACTTGTATTAATGGGGAACTGAATTTTATTTAACATAAAAAAAGAAAAATGTTTCTTATTATTAATATATTTATCTTATATAAAGTATATACATATATATATAACACTACTGTACAGTAGATACAGTATATGCAAAATTAATGTTTAGTTTTTTTTTGGTGGGTGCTATACTATGTGCTGATATGATATATTGTTCATTACAATATGTATCTATAAATATATATATATATTAACATAATTTAATCATTTACACATAAACACACAAAACTTATATAAAAAATTATATAAACATCTTTAATATATACATGCATTTGAATTTATAAATGTTGGAAATATGTTAGTATGAAAACACAAAAAAAATATTTATTACTTGGAATGGAAATAAAAAATACATTTATTTTTATATAAAAAAAGACAAACAAAACAATTATTTCAATCATTACTTATTGTCATCAATAATGATATGGAAAATAAAATGATTGATGAGTTTCCGTCCGATTGGGAATAAATTCCCTCCATTTGCCTAATTGTTCCCATTGATGGAATGTTGTCTTAATATTATTGTATTATATTATTATTAAACACAACTTTTATTTTATATATAAATAATATCTAACACACAATAATATGGATTATTAGTTAGTTTTGTTTTAACATATATCTAGATTATTTTAATCTAATTAATAGTAATAATAATAAGTTATGTAAATATATAATTTATCATTTTATATAATCTCCATAAAATCTAGTTATGATATGTGTGTGTCTTATCAGTTATAAATTAAATGTAGAAAATTTTGAAATTTTTGTTGTTGTGGTTTATAAAATAATAATTTACAAAAATATTGCGATCAATATATAAATTGATATATATTTTCAATATCAAAATCTTTAGAGACTTTTAGATATTGCTTAAAAAATAACTAGTTTTTAAAAAAAAATAAGTTTTGATGAAAATAGATTACAAAATCGTTGGGGGACTAGTGTTGTGAAAAAATATATAAAAATAACTTCATTTAAAAACAACAGTTTTTTTGGGATAACTTATAAGTAACCAAAAAATATCGTTAAAAGTTATTCAACTATATATATTTTTTTTAAATTATAAACAGTTTTTTAATAAAAAATTTAATAAAGTACAGTATATAAATTAGTGATTAAAAATAAGTGGTATCATAATAACTTTGTGATACATAACTAATTTAATACTGTAGATATCTAATAATAATTTTTCAAAAAAATTATATTAAACAATAAGTAAGATAGACTCATAAGTACTCATTTAATATGTATTAGTTTATTTGTACAGTATTATAATATAATTTTATTAAGTTTAATAAAAGTACAGTTTAATAAAAAATAAATATATAATTTTATGAATAAAATATTTTAATACTCAAAATTTCCAGTAGATAGCAATAATAATAAATAATATTATTGTAATAATAAATTATTGTAATATCAATGAAAATTTATAGAAAAATAATATTAATAATTAACTTATAGTCAATATATCAATATAATTAATTAAAATTATTTATTTTTATTGACTAGTTTATTATTAAAAATTTATTATATGATTTTATTTGTCACACTTTAGGAATTGGGTTTTAATCTCAGTATTTAGTTATGACAATATTATTAAAATTTTAATTATTATATCTAACAAACATAAAAGCAATTATTTTTTGAAAAAAAATTAAATAAAATATTTTTTATTATTTGCAAATTTATACAATTTTAAATAACATTAATTAATTTTATTTTTATAAATATTTGTTTATTATTTAATCACATTTTTTCAATAACTTAACTAATTGTTAAATATTGTGCGACACATTTGGCTATTGTTATTATAAATATGACAATTATAACAAATTATTAATGTTAGAAAAAATTAGCAACATGAAATGAGTTTTGTTGTTTGTTATTACAATAATTACAATTTATAATTAGTAATTAATTACATTGACATTATTATTATTATTACACTATAAAATATTATACAGTACATTGAAAAAAACAAACAATTTATTGCATTTACATTTTATATACTAAAAAAAAGAAAAAATTATTTTAAATATTAATTAATTTTTTCAACAAAAAATTATAATCAAATCAAAAGTCTAATAAAAGTCTGGCAATTATGAGGTGTGAAAGTCTTGCAATGCTTTAGTGATGTGCGTCGCCAGCGGTAAGTCCTCTCTGAGAAACGGGTGTTTATAGTCGTCCAGAAAAAAACTGATTCTTTCCATATGTGACGGCCAGTCATTCGGCATACATGACGGGTCTCTCTCACTAAAACAGAAACCCTTGTCTTTAAGTAATCTACAAAATAAAATGATAATAGAAAATAAATTTCTCATTAAAAAAATTAAAATTATTATTATAAAATAAATTCAGCTAGTTCAAATCATTATATTGAATAATTTTAATTAAATATAAACTTTAAAACAAATTATGACTCCATCTAGTGGTTGGATATGTTATGATAAATTAACATGATGAAATATATTAATATTTTACAATAAAATCATAATAATTACAGTTTATTATAAATTAGTGACTAAATATTGTAATTAAAAATATATATATATATTATTTATAATATAATATTAATAATTAGACTGAAAATTTAATTATTAGTATTATTATTATAGTTTTTTTTTAAAAATTTGTTACCTATAAGTGGTTGGACTTAAATTGATTCGCATGGGTTCACTGCACGACTCAAATTTGTTGGCCAGAGTTACGTTTGAACCAAACAGACAGTATCTGACAGTAGAGGACAGGTATACACAAAAAAAAGTTGTTATTTTTTAAATATAAGACAAACATAATTTTTATGACATTTTTCAATTAATTAATCATTTTATTATTTATTTATTTATTTCTAAGTAAACAAGTAATAATAATTAATTTATCAAAAATCGATAAGTAATTTATTTTATTTCAAGCAAATAAAAATTCATTCATCATTATATTAATAAATAAATGTGTACCTGGGCATTTTTAGGCCAACAATACCGGCCAAACAGCTGCCACTGTGTAGTCCTATTCTCATCTATTAATAAATACAAAACAACAACAAAATTTACCGGTAAATAAATAATTAAGTATTTTATCAGTAAATTTCTTTATTTTTTTAAAAAAATAAAAAATTTACAACAATTTTATTGAACAAACTCTATGATAAATGAAGTTTTCATAACAATAAAGATATCCGTAGTTTTTTTGTGGCAATTTATCATTAAATTGTACAAACAGTTTATTAGACATCAGTTGTGGGCACCATTACCTGAACAGTTTTGACGTCCAGTCCCTGTGGCCTAAAATTTTTGATTGCTTCCATCATTTTCAGGGCCATAAATGCTGCTCTTATGGCGTGAAACGAACTTTCCTGATGCAGACCTGAGGCCACACAATAGGCGTCACCAATGGTCTCAGTCTATGTCCAACAAAAAAAAACAATAAAAAGTTATTTATTTAAATCATTTGTTTTTAATAGAAAAACAAACTGAAAAAAACATGAAAACTATTTATATATATATATATTTATTTTCAAAGATACCTTATAGACATCGATTTCACCGCAAAATGCGTCAAACTGTGTATACAATGCGTTCAACATATTGATGATCGACATCGCAGTGGCCGTCGAGCAGATGGCCGTAAAGCCTACGATATCGCTGAACAACATAGTCATGTGATCAGATTGTTGAGCTTTAACCGGTTGGCCTAACCATAGCTTTTTGGCCACATTTGCCGGAAATATTAGATTCAATAGATCGACATTTTTCTTGCGCTCGCTTTCGACGGCTTGGTTGGCCTTTTGTATGGTATTCTTCAGATACTCCATCCGTCTCTTAAGGCTTTCCTGAGCCCGAGACTGCTCTTCAATCAGTATTAGATCACTACATATGGATATGGATTATGGATAACCATAATTGATAAACAAAATTATATTTATATTATGTATTAATTTTATACTTCAGTTTTCAATTGATGATATATTTTTAGATATTAGGTTTTCGTGTAATTTTATTAAAATATATATATAAATATAATAAAAATAATAATATATAGTTGTGTCAAACATACAATATTTAGTTTTGTTTTCTAGTAATATAATATAATAAAACTATTTTTTAAAATGTTTATCAGAATAATTTATGAAAAGTGAATTTAAATATTGAATAATGTTATTTTTCTAGAAAAAATGAATAAATATATATATATACATATAAATGTATAATAAATATATTGTATGAAATAGTTTTATTTTAATAATTATAATAATCTATTTAATAAACATATTTTTTAAAAATGTTTATCAATTTGTTATACAATTATAATAATATAATAATAATAGTATAATAATAATTGTTACACAAATTTAATCTTTAAACAAAATTACACTATTATTTATTATTCTGATTTATAATTTATGAATATAAAAATACATGTCCTAAAAATAGCAAACATAACTATATATATATAATATCATATAATACAGGTATATATTGTACCGTATTATATACTGTATGTAAATATGTATATATAGTATATACTGTACATTATAATTATAGTTCACACCTATTCAACCAAATAAAAACCGATAAACAAATATCTAAAAATACCGATTCAAACAACCCATTAGATAAAAATAAAACAGTGACAAACAAAATGACTAACAAAACAATGATTTTGTTTAAGAGAGCTAATCATCAATTTTGATGAATCAATCAATAGTTTCTTTTCAATTCTTGTTTTATTTGATATATTATTATATAATATATTTATTTTCAATACAACAATATATACCGGGTATTATACAGTGGTACAGTACGGTAATACTGTGCTTATATTTTATACATAAAAAAATAAAAAATAAAAAAAATCTTTTTTTACATTATTTTCTATTTCACTTTTATTTTTATTTTTTTCTCTCTCATTATTATTGTTTTCTTTACGACTGTTTTTTTTTGTAGATATATTTTCTTCAATTGATATTATCCTGTATTTTGAAGAATCAATTTATCTAATGGTCTTCACTTGTAAAACGTTGTCTCCTATTTTCATTGTGAATCTCTCTTTACTTTATAGTAAGTGATATTCAACTCTATTATATAGATCGTAGACTTTTTTTTATATCAATATATAAATTTTATTTACTATTTCCTTATCTTATCTACCTTTCCTGTGTATATTATGTGACTGACTGACTGTCTAAATGTATATTTATAAATGATTGTCCCCCTCTCCAGATGAAAAAATTTATGCTTTTTATTTGTGTTATTTATTTGTCAAATAATAATAATAATAACATGACATTTCAAATGTACTTTAATTTGACTAATGAATAACACTATTGTTAATAACAAATAAAATAAAAAAGTTTATTATAAATGTTTGCTATTATTGAAACTTCTTTATAGTAGTTATTATTGTGAATTCAAAGTGCATACACACCTTAATGAAACTTATATTTAACGATTGAATTATAATAATAAAATATATTGTATATATATATAAATTAATAATAATAACAATAATAATAATAAATTAATTACCATTTATTAGTCTTACACTAAAAATGTTATGCCAATCAAATTATTATATTATTATTTTTTATATAATATGTTACTATTTTATATATATATATATATATATATATATATATATATAGATTAAAAGACAATTTCCTTGAAGGCAATTGTTTTTTATTGTCCGCTTTTTATTGTTTAACATCATATGCCGAGTATTGTTAAAAAACCACACGTATATTATTGCTATTATTGTATTTCATTAAATCAATACAATATCTACAATAATATTTAATACATTATATAGAGTTGGCAAAAAAGAGAAATTTCTAAAATAATATAGAAATTTCTGGAAAGTTGTCTATGGGATTCCCATATCAATTTTTGTCTTGAAACAATTAATTATAACTATGAATATTAATTAAATTTTATTATAAATATTTTAATTAATATTAAAATAAATAATAATTCATTTAATTACATTAAACTAATAATATAAATCAATTATAAATAAAATTTGACAAAAACTATAATTATAATCAAATAATTATATTAATTTTATAAATATGAATCCCATAAATATAGTAGTGTGTTGTATATTATGTATTATTAGTAGAGTATTACAATAGATATATAATATGATTATAGATATGAGGATCACATAATATAAAGATAAAATAAAATTTCTATAGAAATTTATTCCTGAGAAATTTTCTTAGGGAATTTTATTAGAAATTTTCTATTTGCCATCTCTTACAGCATATCGTACAATATATTTATATTTTATTTAATTTATTTTACTATATATATAACATTGCTTCACATAAATTATACACAGTATCACATTAAACAAGAATATTCTTAAATAAATAATTTTTATTACATTTGTAGCAATACTTTTTTTTGTTATTTTTGTTAATATTATTATTATATTATTAAAGATTATGCCTACCGGGTAGCGTCATGTATAGGTATATCCGAGATGTATAGTCCACGGCTTGTCATACCCTGGAGGCCCTTAACGATAGGTGCGCCCAAAAATAACAAACAATTTGATTCAATGCAGTGAATCATTTGGCCCTTTAATTCCATTCCCTGTCAATAAAGATAGAGAGAGAAAAAAACTAAATATAAAATATAAATAAATATACTCTAGTATTAAATGTTAGGCAAATAAGTGGTAATCTATTTTAGTGTACACTAAAAGTGTAAATAGCAATTGCTATATGTTTTTTAGGTACTTTATATTTCAACACAACAGAGAAAGAGAGAGAGAGAGAGAGAGAGAGAGAGAGAGAGCCCTACTTAACCAATCAAACCTTTAATACTTGTGTTGTTCATGTATTTGATGTAATAGCAAATATATGTCTATTAAATTTATATATATATACATATATATACCAATTTCTATAATTCTACAAACGATTAGATTTATTGACAAATTTCTACACCTATTTTTGGATTCACAATTTTGTCAGCTATAGCTTAAAACATATTTATCGCCATCAATTTGTAGGCAACTTATATTAGTCTATATATACATTTATATTGATCTTCAATATGAAAATATTATTTTTTCATTATTTCGCCCCAAAAGCCATTTTTATTAATTTTGTTATACCGTAGATATAAGGCACCGATAGTTAAGTCTAATGGCATTATATGGCAGAGTGTGAGTAGCTGTCCAAACATTTTTTTGTTGGTAACACAAAAGCAATTTAAGTGAGGAAAGCATTGGATAGACTGTATAAATAAATCTCAGATTTATTTACTAACTTTATGTAAGGGTTTATGATTTCATCGTTCAATATCATTGTCTTAAATCTTTTAAGGATTTTCTGTTTGTTAATAATATGTTCATAAAACTATAGATTAATTACATTTATGTATATTATTATTATTATTATCTGAAATATACAATAAATGATTATTTTTATATTAAGTTCTTGACTTTATTAACAATTTTTTAGAGCATTTATTGCCCGGCAATATGTTTGCCATAACTAATAAATATATGATATGAATAATATTTATGATAATCATATTTTTTAGTGTCGTTGAATATGCAATGAATTTCAATTTTTCAAAAACGTAAAATAAAATAGTTAACTATTATTTCACTATATTTGATAAATATATATATTTATCTAATAATCAATAACAGTTTGTGTTTGATAGACAATTAATATTTTAAGTAATCAAATTATAATCAAAAATTATTTATTTTATAAATCGTATATTTTAAAAATGCAATTATATTAGACTCATTAAATTAAATATTAGTTTTATTTTAAAAGATTTTTAATATAAATAATTGAAAATACATAATTTAAAATAAATATTTAATAAGAGAGAGAGAGAGAGAGAGAGAGAGAGAGAGAGAGAGAGAGAGAGAGAGAGAGAGAGAGTAATTAACTTTGACGTGAACCTCATATTTTTAATTATAAATTTCAGAGGCTATAATCTCATTAAAAGTATAAATCATTAAATATATATATATATATCATTTATATATATATATATAACATTATTATAATAACTAAATGAATTAATTATAAACGATAGCAATTTTGGCATAAATTTATTAAAATTGATATTTTTAAGTCATCAACAAAATAATATACAATAAGTTTAATGTATTATAAACAAAATGCTACTGAATTTATTAATCAAGTGTTAATGAACGTAATTTAATTAGCTATTAAAATTTTTTCATAATTTCACAAATTTTTCAACAACAACAACAAAAATCTGTTAAATTTTATTATTTTATTATTATTTAATATTTAAAAAACAAGTTTGTAATAGTAGAACATATTTAAATTTAAAAAAAAATAAAATATAAATTAATTAAAAAAAATTGTAACTATTTATCGATAATATAATTAGTTAGTTACGTCTATCTATTTGACAATAATAAACATAATACTAATTTTAAGCCTTAAAATCATGCAATTGAATAGACTTATATTACTGTATATAATATACAATACTAATATAATTGAATTGCACTTCAATTAATGTGACGAAATTGTCGACCAAAAACTTTTGGTTATCACTTGAAAGTACAGATTTATGGCATTAATAATATATATAAATGAAAACTAAATTTAATCATCAATTCACTAGAAAAGTAGTCTTAAATTATATATATAGAAATGTTTGAAACCTATTCATTGGCGAAGATATTTAGGTTATAATTATTGTTAATACTTAAAGAAAATGGGATTAACTATTGAGTGGCATTTCAAGACATAGTTGTACAACAATGCTATAACTTATTATAAGTATAATTATGTTAGGATAATATAAAAGAAATAAAAGATGTGTTTATATAAATCAATATATTATAATTAATTGTTATTTGTTTACATATTTCTAGAAAAATAATTAAATAAAAATGTTATAATCTAATTAATACATTGATCACAAAAAAATAAATCTTTAATTTCAATTCAATAGAATATATAACTTTATATACTATAGAAAAAATAACATTAAAAAAACTAATTTTTTATTTTTAGAAATCGTATGACACAATTACCTCTAATTTATGGTCCGATAGATTACGGTATAATTGTAGACAAAACACAAGATTTGTTGTGTAAATAATTGACCGATAATTGAAATCGACGGACGGCTGAGTTATCCTAAAATAGTCGGACATATGAGCGCCGATTACTTTGCTGTGATCGACAAACATTCTCATTAGTCCTGTAAAGAAAATAATAATAATAAATATTTTCAAATATGATATATATATATATTATTTTATTTCAGCACTGTATATATTGTACTGTATATATACAATAAACAATATTTTATTTATATTGATTTAAAATAATATAAAGAAATAAATAAAATAGTTTTTGTTAAATATAAATACTGTAAGTATAATACAAATACAGTTTAAATAATATGTCAGTCAAAAATATTAAGTTTTTAAAAATAAAATAACAAATAACAAAAAATCCAATTTAAATAAAAATTTATACTATTTCTTAAATTTGAGACAAAATTGTTTAGAAAGATTTTTTATTATAAATTAAAAAAAAATAAATGCATACTAATTAGTTAGTATTATTCTAAAATTTGTTTCATAAATTACAGAATAATTATAAACAAATAATATTGAATATTTTAAATAATTAAATTCAGTAATAAAAAATATTCTTATTTATAATTCTATTAATTAATTGAGAATAATTTTTCGATATTATTTAATTATTGTATCATATACAATATACAATAATATACAATATTATAATTAATAAATAATATATAAACAAAAAAATATTATTTCAATAACAATCATGAAATTCAATCTAAACCTTGAATGAAATATAATATTTTTTAATATTCTACAAAAAAATATATGATATATGAAATTTTACCTAACTTTTAGATATAAATAATAATAATACGTCAATATATCTAATTAATATTGGCTATATAAATAAAAATTCTAATAAAACCAAAATAATCTTAATAAATAGCTATGGAAATAATGTATTATAAACTTAAGAAAATAAATGTATAGGTTTTATATAATCTGTGGCTTATATGCTAAATATAATAAATCAAACTATTGAAAATAATTTATAAAATATAAATTTACTGGAAGTTTTAAACTCATATTTACAAAAAAATAATAATCAATTTATATAATACACATAAGTATACATTCACATTAGATTTTTTAAAAAATATATATGAAAAATACAGATAATTTTGTTATTGTTGTATTAAACTAATAATATATTAAATATTTAGTAATATAAATATTGAAATCCAATAAAGTTGACAATTAAATATAAACTCTAACTTTACTCTACAATAGAAAATAAAACAAATTTGAATTTATAAATAGTGTTTAATATATTCAACAACAATGATGAGTAGAGACTCTTTTTATTTTTTAATATTGTAGTTAACACATAAAAAAATCAATACAAACCTATTTAAATCTCATATATATATACATACACTATGTATATCTATTATGCATTAATATTATATATACTGTATATAATAAAAGTTAAAGAGGGCTCTTAAAATTATATTTTTATTATATAATAACATTGACAACATGATTGTGAAAAGAGTTTAAACTCATTTAATTTAAGAGTCAGTAATAAAATATGAGAAAAAATCATATTTAATATATAAAATCAAAAAGAAAAAAATGTTTTATAAAAAAAAATTTTACATAAAAATCTCATTAAAAATTTTTCTAAAAAACACAATCTAATATAATATAATTTTTGTAAATATTAAAATCAAATAAAAATACTATATGTATAAACCAACAAAAAAAATTAAATAAACAGTACTTTATACAGTTGAAAGTTATCTGTTTTGTAATAATATACTTATTTTTATAAATATAAACTACATTACTAATAATATTACTGATTTTTATAATTTTATAACAACTAGTACAGTGAATTAGATGATTGTACAAATAATAGTCAGATATTTAATTTATTTTATATTAAATTTTTACATTAAAAATTACATACAGTATATAATTAATATGAGATAAACATATATAAATTTCCTTTAATGTATAGTCATATGTTATACTATATAACTTGTAATATGTAAAAATATTTCTAAACATAACATTAGTTTAACTTATATTAATATTTTTAATATTATTCTGTATATACAATTTATATGATACATAGTGCACACACATTGCACATATAATACAATAACAGTAACTATAATGATATATACTGTAAAATATACTATACTATCTATTATATAATAAAACTTTATCACTACTTGTTATGTGATATATCGTACAATGCGTGCCTATACTGTATGTATTTTTAATACTAAAAAGCAAATTATAAGGTATTTTTATAGTAAATGTAATAACCATAAGTAACACACACACACACACACACACACACATGCATGCATTGATGCAAACTTTGAATATGCATACATACCTGAGCCAATTTGTACAAATTGAAGACTTGTATCGCATATGAAATGAAAGGGAAAGGCTGTGGCAAATGTGTGGACTGACATGAATAGCGAACGAGTATTACTGGACAATGAGTTCTTGTATTGACAATAATGATAATTATGTTTATACAGTCCACTACCACTACCATTACTACCGGCACCGTTGTTGTTGTTGTTGACATGATTGGTGCCTCCGGTGTTGTTGTCGATGATATGAACGACAAACACATACTGTCCATTAGTGGTACGTTGGCTGACAGTGGTTGTCAAGTGAAACATATGTTCGGCAAAACTATGAAACAGTCCGCACATGGCGTACGACACGAATGTCGACACCGGCTGTCTGGTTGAATATGTGACAGTCAACTGTGTTTCATTGGTATTGACGGCCACCCGAATCGGTACTGTTGACTGTTCGACACCGGCCGACCAGAAAGTATTGGGTGAATCACAGTATGCTTTGCTGGTACAGTCGTGTATGCTCTCAATATTGACCATAAAGTCGACAAGTGTTCCGCCCAGAAATCGTAGGGCTTTCCCATTGTCATCGAGACACTGTCGGGCATAACGTTGGCCACATTCGTTGGCCAAATCTTTCCAATCGGAAATACCTAAAAAAAATTAATTAAGACAATCAATCAATGAATGAATGAAAAATAAAATTATTCATATATTTATTAAAACAAACAAATTTATTAATACCTAATTTTTTGGCAAATTTTTTGCACAAATCTTCCAACTCCTCAAACGATGAGTTGTTATGTTTGGATACAAAATCTAATGTATAATCTAATCGATGATCTCCTCTGTTGACTAACTTTAAGTACCGATGGATATCAAAACCCGAGGATTGACTGTTTAAATATTTTTTTAAAAAAATTTGTTATAAAAATCAACACTACATATGCAGTAAAGTTAATAAAATGTTAACATAAAAATTATTATTATTAATTGTTTCATTAGATATTTTTTTTGGTTAAAATTTAATAATTTTATTTGCATTGAAATAATAGTGATGAATAATAAATTAATTTATTTCGATTAGTAAATTATACAACCATGATTATCTAATGTATAATAAACTTAAACTAGTATAAAAAAAACCATTAATATATTATAAATTATATAGAAAAAATAAAAATACACATAAAAAATGTATGCAATTCAAATCACGTTTAGTCATTAAATAATATATGCATTTATTTATTATAGTATTGTTAAAAAACCTCATAATTATTTGGACTATTCAACGGTTGATAATATAATACTATTTTAATGATGCTATTAATTTTCTATGCTTTCCATTAAAATATATACAATTTTCAAAAGCATATAATATATAATATTATATATATATAGCAATGAAATATTAGTCCAAAAACTAAATGAAACCATAGTATTAAATAATATGAATTGATTGTATTTTGTGCCGGTATTTACTGTACTGTATATCACATTAAAGTCTATTGGCTTATAATCAGCAAACATTGATATATTAGCTAATATAAAATACTGTAATAAAGTTTGTTTTATGTTGTGGGTAAATTAGTGCCACAAAATAAATAGTTTGTTAATCCAATATAATAATTAGATAACAAATTTTAATTTTTTTATATCAGATTATTTAAACTTATCAAGTTAGCATAACTATTTTTGTTTGTTTGTTTTGATATATACACAGTATTCAAATCTAAAGTTTAATCATTAATTTTAAATTACATCATAATATATTAACACATTTTTAAAAATAGTTATTAATTATTTTTATTATAATACGTATCTACTACATATATAGACTTTAATGAAAATTAAATAAATAAATAAAATTAAGTAAAATAAATTCTTTATTTTATTTATTTTTATAATTTATCATAAGTTTTAAAAATTGATATTTATAAAAATATAATATATAAGGTATATAAGAATTTAGATAGTAATAAATTTATATTTAGTTAATTAATAGTTTTATAATTTTTTGATGTCATATATTTTATAATATTAACTAATTAATTATAAATAACTATAATATTATAGTTAAATAGTATAATTAAATAATTATAATGTCTTACATGGTTTCAGTCCATAGGCGGCTATTTCTCCTTTCGATGTTATCTTTTAAAACATTGATTAAGTCGTGAGCCTATAAAATATGTAAATAATTAGATTTAATTACAAATAAAATCAATATATGTCATAATTGTTTGGGTAATTATTAGCACACTTATCAATCAAATAATTGATAGATATATTATATGCAGTACAGCAGAAAATCATTCAAAATTAATTCATAGACGCGATTACAACTTTAATTAGATTTGTGATATTATGTAAATTTATTTTTTAACATAAATGACATTTATTATATCAACGATAATTAAACTAACAATATCACTGTTTAACTTATAGTAAGTTTTCTATTAGGTATTACATAAAGTAGTTTCAAAAAATACAATTTGATTAAAATAAAATTTGTTAATTTTTTTTGCTAGCTTGCTAAATTGATAGTTAAAAACTAAATTTATTATTAACATAAAATAATCTATTTTTAGACATTATTTAAAAAATATATTTATTAAATATATATCATATTTAGATTTATGTTTTGAATTAATATTTGATTATAAAATAACGATAATATTTTATAACTATACAATACTAATTCATACAATACTTACAAATAAAAAAATGTATTTTACGATAATTAAATATTTTTAATAATTATATTTACAATATTAAATTAATAACTAGTTTGTCATAAATATAATACTAATATCGAAGTAAAGTTACAAATAAGCAAAATTATGAGTGCATTCAATCTTTTTTTAATACCATTGTCTATTAAATATTTATTATTAGTAAATTTATTATTATTTAAAGATATATCACATATTATATATACAAATTCAATTTACAATACAATGTGCTTTATTTATAATGATTAACATATTGATTAAAAATAAGTTATATATATACAGTATATGTTTAATAGTTTAGTATTTTTATGATATTAATATAATTTATATACTGTATATGTTATTTACTTTTGTTTTTGTTTTAATAAAATATAAAATAGATATTTTTAACGAGAAATTTGTTTATGAACACTTTAACTAATGCATTATTATAATTATTATAAAATAAAATTTTAAATAGATTACATATTGAATAAATTTGTTTAATTTTGCTAGATAAGTCAATTACTAGACCTTTATTAAATATATAAAATAAATTATGAAATATTAATTAATTTTTTAAATAACAAATTTTAATAAACTACTTTAGAATAGTTAATTATAAAAATTATCTTTCATTAACATTTATAATTTAAAAATTATATTTGTAGTACATATTATTTTTATTTGAGTAGTTTAAAATAAAAGTTAGATAAAATGAATTATATTACTTAATAATTTGTTTAATAAATATTTTAAAATTGATTCAAATAAAGCAGTGTTGTTGTAATACATTAAAAATAAAATAACATAGATTAGTATTTTATTATTTAAAATATGAAACAATATTGAATTTTTATATATCATAAATAAGTAGCAATTATTACAAAATCAATATATCATATAATAAAAAAATCAATTATTTTCTTTCATATTATAATTGAAATCAGTGCAATAATTAAAATCCTAGTAATAATACTGTAAATATATTGTTAATATTATTGTATATTACAACATATTATTAATTTACTTAGTGGTAACAAAATTTATTTTTACAATATTTCAAACAAATGAGATTTTTTCCTATATATATTAATAATGTTGATTAGCAAACACATACACATAAAAACATAAGAAAAAACAAACAAATAAACAAAAAAGCCTTAATTTTATTTTACTCTCATTCAAGTAAATCTCTCTCTCTCTCTCTCTCTCTCTCTCTCTCTCTCTCTCTCTCTCTCTCTTCATTGTTATAGAAATGATTAATGAGTTGTTTAGATTGTTAGCAGCACTTGACTGTTGCTGGCAATGCCAACAACACATACTTACACACATACGGGTGCTCTAAATCCTTGTGTCGAAAGCTAAGACATTGTAGTTAACAAAAAAAAGCTAAGAAATAGAAAAACAACAACAAAAAAGGCACTGAAAAAAATCAATATAAGACAACAAGGTTTGCAATAAAAATCTAACATATAATACAAATAGCGAAACAACAACAACAAGATATACGGTTGAAATAAATTGAATCCTAAACTAACAAAATAACAAATTGTTGCATATGTTGTAAAAAATGTTTGGTTAGAATTATATATAAATAGATATTTACAGTATATATATATATATATAGCGTATTATAATTATATATATTTGCTTATACTAAGCAAAACTACTGGCCATTTGGTATCAGTGAACTCATGCATTCATTTAGATAATACTTGAAAAATATCTGCAAAACATTTATTGAATAACTATTTTCAATATCCTATGAATTGAAATAAAAACTCATTTATTCAGAGATGACTTCAAGCGGGTAACACACAGGAAAAAAAACTTTAAAACTATAAGACATATCATATAATTTATATATAGTGTATATACCGGTATAATATTGACATTTAGATAAAACTTCAATTTTCTGTACTAAACTATAATTTTACGGTAGAAAACATATATACAGTGAGAGATATCTAGAAAGTATATATATTTTTATATCTATTACTTTACAAAAACAGTGAATATTTGACTTTTCAAAATAAAAAGACTAAGAAATGGATAAAAAAAGTTTATTCATATATCTGTTTGTTTGAGTTAACAGACAAAACTTTTTTAAAAAAAAACTTTTGCCAGTATTTGTGTTGAGTTAATATAWAGACAAACGACTTAATATATATAATATATATATAACTTAGTATATATAAACAGTACATTTTATTATATACACAGTATATATTGTATTTTGATGAAAATTTTAAATATATGATTAATAAAATAGTTTRYTCACAATTTTTGTGTTTRATTTTTAAAAAATATCTGATAAAAGATTTGTATCATTTAAYCAAAYAGATATCTMTATAATTGATAAGGATTTCTGGTTCAATTGATTAATAAGTATATTKATMTAAATATATARAATATATTAAGTCGTTTGTCTATATATTAAATATTTTTAGATATATTTMAGATAACAACTAACTTTCAACACAATATTTTTGTGCAAAATTTCAATAAAATTTTAAAATGTGTTTATTAAAAATATATATATATACTGCAGTTTATTATAATCTATGTTATAAAATAAAAAAAAAACTTTTTTTATATTGAAATTGTTTTGTTCAAAAAAAACTTGGTATAATTTATATCAAGTATTTAAGGGATTTCTATAGAAAATTGCTGTTATATAAARTACACTAACTGTGATATATATCATGTTTTGGCTAAAAAAATATATAAAACAACAACAAAAATATAAATCAAAACTTTTCAATGGATACGCTTAGGTGTTTGCGGAAAATGTTAAATATTATCTTTCATTTTATTTTATTTTTGTATATTTTTTTTTTTATTTTTGTAAAAATAGACATAAGATACACAACTAGTGTTTTATCAAACGTTAAGGTATAATATAAATAAAGATAAGTGGTGTTGAGGTCATTAATAAGTGGTCAATAGAGAGAAATCAATACAAATATAAAAAACACAAAATACAATATAATATACTGTATATAAATATTATATAATATAAATAAAACAAAACTACATGTACTTTGTATATACATGTATTTCAGCAAATATTATTGCATTTAATAAATGAGAGAACAGTTATGTAATCACACCAGTAGTTTAAGTTCCAATCAATGTGTGTATATATACAGTATGTATGTATGTGTGTGTGTGTGTGTGTGTGTGTGTGTGTGTGTGTCTGCATTTACTAACACCAATAGGGACGGGTCTAAACAAATAATGCTTAATCTTTTAGCTTATTTTTTTGTCATTACTCTGTCTACTGAGTTAATGAGTGATTCACACAATTAATTTGTGAAAATCAATGTTTATTTAATCATTAAATAACTTTTCTATTTTTTTCGATTACAACTTTTAGCTTTCATTTATCATCGATGATAATAATAATAAAAATATTTCTAATAATACTGTAGTAATAATAGTAAAGTATGTCAGTAGTGATGGTATGTCGATATCGACAAACAAAAAATTAATGTAATATTAATAACCATTTTACTAACTACTCCTAAATAAGTGCAGATAGAGAGAGGGGAGGCAAAGCCGCACAATACTTATAGAAAATCAATAGATGAACTAATAAATAGAGTACCAGTGCCTGGAAACAACTAGTCATCCCTTAAATAATAGACATCCCATCGACTAATTTAATTCACACACACAAACCAAACGCCACTATTTATGTGATTAACTCAATATAATATTATGTCAATAGTAATAGTAGTAGTAATAATAATAATACTTTTGTATTAATTTAAGTATGGTCAGTTTAATATTTTCTGAAAAACATTTATATATATATACAGTATTTAATTGTATTTTAATAATAAATATAATGATTTAGGAAACTATATGGCAATAATAATACTACTAATAATAAGTTTTGCATAAAAATATATATATTAAAATAAAGATTATTATTTTAGTATAAACAATACTTTACTGTTAAAGTTAGAAAAATATGATAAAACTTTATTATACATTATTAATATAATGATTCATTATATTGAATAAAAATTCTTAACAAACAAATATTGCTATAAAGAGTCCTATAAATACAATATAAATTATTAATGTAATGTAAGTTAAATTGTAGTCAAAATTTACATCAAACTATTTATTAAGTTTAGTCATTATTAATGTAAATAATAATAATTTTAAAAAAGTATCATGCTATTTTTATAGTTAGGTATAGAATTTTTGCAAAAAATTTTTTTTAATTTAAATTTTAGTCAAAAATAATAATGATAATTATATTTCAAATTTTATAAATTAAAACAATAGTTATTGTCATAAGATTAAAAATATTTATCTTTTATTTAGACTGATAAAATATTATACTAACAATGAAATTATAATTTTGTTTATATACTGTATATATACTGTATATATATATATATACATAGTGTACTTGGCATATAATATTGTGTATTAAATAATAAAAATA